ACTATAGTTATATATATATATATATATATATATATATATATATATATATATATATATATATATATGTGTGTGTGTGTGTGTGTGTGTGTGTGTGTGTGTATGTATGTATGTTAATACTTTTTCTTTTTGCTCAATTTAAAAAATGTCTTTCTGGCTGGTGGGGAGGGGGAGTGGATTAAGAAACACTGTAACACTGCCAACTAGGGTAACAACTCTTAATGCCTTTTTGGCTATGTAGTTGCAGTGGGCTCTAGCACTTAGATCATTAGAGATGAGTATTCCAAGGTCCTTTACAGAGCTTGGGTCATCAACAAGATCTTGACTGTTCAGCTTGTATTTTATTTTCTGATTTTTTTTGCCAGTATGTGAGACAGAGCATTTATTTGTTGAGATTTGAAGTTGCCATTTGTTTGACCATTCTGATACATAGTCGAGGTCTTTTTGAAGTGTAGCAGTATTGTCTGTGGTGTTGAATAGCTTTACATCGTCAGCGAAGAGAACGCAGTTGCTCTTAATATGAATACAGAGGTCATTTATGTAGAGTATGAAGAGAGTTGGTCCTAGAACACTGCCTTGGGGACACCACTGTTGACAGGTACAGAATTTGATAGGACGCTCCCAATTTTGACCATTTGTTGTCTGTTTGACAGGAATGCTTCTATCCAGTTATGCAGGTGTCCAAAGATACCATAGGATTTTAGTTTTAGGAGTAGTTTGTTGTGTACCACTGAATCAAAGGCTTTTCAGAAGTCTATGTAGATTGCGTCTATTGCTTTGCCCTGATCGAGTTGTGTAGTCCATATGTTTTTACAGTGTAAGAGTTGCAGATTACAGGATAGTTTTTTTCTGAAACCAAATTGTTTATTAGAGAGTAGGTTGTTTGTCTCTAAGTGGAGGATAATGGATTGGTTAATAATTAATTCCATGACTTTACAGGTGACGCAGCATAAAGAAATTGGTCTGTAATTTTCAACTAGGCTGGGGTCTCTCTTTTTGAAGATGGGGATGACCGTGGCTTGTGACCATAGGTTAGGCAAGGAGCTGTCCTGAAAGATTTTTTCATAACATTCATGTTATGACTACTATATTCACTTAATGATTGCAATGAAAAAAAGTTGTAAAATTGGGTCAGTCAAATGATGACTCATTTTATGTAACAACATAACCATAATTGCTAGGCTCAACTAGGCAGTCATAAGTCAAGGACTAACTGTATCATGGCTGAACCATCACTGAATTAGCATGGATCCAAACTGAGTTTCTTACTGAAAGTGTAAGGAAGCGACTTAACCCTTGAGATATTTTTCTTTGCCAATTAAGTATCTGCAGTTTCCTAAAACAAATTTATGTAAACTTAAAATATTTAATGATAAATAAGATAAAAGTACTATATTGTGATAAAAGCATCAAAATTTACAAAAGCAGAGCAAGCTAAATATTGTAGCCCAATAGTTTTAAATCATATTGGATGAAAAAAGTTGCAGTTCACAAATATATACTTTTTAATAAAGTATGTAGGTACAGCCAGAACATAATAAAGAAGAATCTACCAGATTTTTCTCATATGGGATTCAGTAGTATTGAGGGGAGGTTGTGCAGAACTTGTGTGTCTCGAAGGTAAGTGGTTTGCCAAGCCTATTTATGTGGCTGTCGAGAACCCCCTTGGCTGGAGCTCCACAGTATAAACACTGCAGCATTTTTAGTTTCGTTTCAAGCTCTCGCTGGGCATAATAGAAAGCTATGCAAGGGGAAACACTATAAATGTGACTTCATATGTCAGACGGCTTTTCTACTGCATCCAGCTCAGGCTATTGAGATGGTTTGTAGTGAATTGTGTATTCGCTTCTGAGCTGTAACTATTTTAATTGTTTATGGGTTATAATACATTGGGTTTCTTTGCATATCATGTTATTTCCACTTATGCTTAATATTAGATACAGCATGCTTAAAGTCACTGTCATCCTTTTGGAATAATTTAATAGATTTTGAAACTGATTGTTTTAGGAGGTATGGTGACATTGGACTTGGGATATTGCTTGGAGAATATTTTGTAAAAACTGAATTTACTATTATCCTGATATTAAGGACTGGATTCAAGAGATGTATAATTTATTTAGTTCAAAAAGGAAATGTTATCTATTGATCAAAAAAGAATGTAGTATGTTTTCCTTTTGCATAGATTAAAAAAGAATGCTTTTGGCTTTCTGTTGAATAGTTCATGGATACTTTCCCCCGTCAGTCCCAAAACCTTTAAAATTGACTTCTAAGGCATGGATTCTAAGGCAACATAGGAACTCTTCAACTTATAATCATAAGTGAGACCAAAATTTCTGTTGCTAAGTGAAACATTTGTTAAGTGAGTTTTGCTCCATTTTACAACCTTTGTTGCCACAGTTGTTAAGTGAATCACTTCAGTTGTTAAGTTAGTAATAGTGTTGTGAAGTATATATGGCTTTCCCGTTAACTTTGCTTGCCAAAGGCGATCAGTTGACCCTGAGACGTTGCAATCAACATATAAATATGACCTAGTTGCCAAGCAGTTGAATTTTGATCACGTGACCACGGGATGCTGCAATGGTCATAAGTGTGTGAAATGGTCACAAGTTACTTTTTTCAGTGCTGTTGTAACTTTGAATTGTCATGAACGAACTGTTGTAAGTTGAAGACTACTTGTACAGCAAGTGGAAAAATATAAGCATGAAAGTGTAATTTAGTAAATAAAAGAAAGTGGAACTAGATGGTAAGATTTTCAAAACCAGCAAACCAATACTTTATCCAAAAAGTAGGATATTTTTGTAAAGGTTGTTCTATCTTCTAGAACTGGTTTCTCACAGTTCTAGACCCTCTATCTCTGGTATGGTGATCTCTAGCTGGAGTTTAATTTCTATTTTCGCTAGCCAGAATTTGACAACTGATGGCAAGTAGTCCAGCTAACTGAAAGGAAATTATCTGTAGATTGGGGTTGAATGATAGGTACACAGGTAGCTGCAAAAATGAACTCCAACCTGTATTTTTTCACCTTGTGTTCATGATATTTTTAATTCTTTAGTTTTATTGTACGTTCGGTTCATCTGTTGCTTTTTCCTTATCCCTGTCAAATCTCTTCCCTTCTTCTGTTTTTTTAATGGACTTGATTGTGCTCTTCTGCATGCCATAGGGTTTATATAATGAAAAATTGCTTTTTTCAGCAAGAACTGGGCAGGTAAATTAAGTTAGAAGATTGGGCTGAATTGGTCTGACTCTTGTACACATCTTCATTGTCTTTTTTCCTTTTTTCATTATAGTTCAGCAGATTTACTAAGCGTGATCCAATGGAGCTGCGTGATTATCAGTGGGAGGTCATTGGGCCTGCTTTGGAAGGAAAGAATATAATCATATGGCTGCCAACAGGTGCTGGAAAGACTCGAGCAGCTGTCTATGTTTGTAAGAAGCACTTGGAGAGTCAAGACAAGAACAAGGTGGTTGTGTTAGTCAACACAGTAAGTACCAGTAGATAGAGGGTGGTGGAAGATCATTTTCCAAAGCCCACGGCTTCTTGGATTACAAACACCCTCAGAGATGAAATACTTTGGACCTCAAACAAGTAGAACTGTTTATTATAAAAGCATCCCCTTTTCTAGGTTTCTGCACCAGTTAGAACAAAGTAACAGCGTTTTTTTCTTCAGTCACATGTACGGCTGAAGAAAAGGGAGTTGCTTTAACAGAAAAGAGCTGTGCTCTTTCCAGTTCAAAAACGCCTCTTCCAAAACATTTTGGAAACGTGCATGGCCTAATGGTGCCTGTTTTATCCCCTGGAAAATGTTTCACTGCAGCCACTTTGTCTTGGCAGGTATCTCTAGTCGACCAACATCTGAAGAATGAATTCAGTTTCTTACAAAGTCAATTCCAAATTACCTCTGTTTATGGTGATAGTCTCCAGAAGCTATTCTTCTCAGATATGGTAAAGAGCCATGACTTGATAATTTGCACAGCCCAAATCCTGTATAATGCCCTCAACAACCAAGATGAGGAAATGCATGTGGAACTGACTGGTGAGTAGTGAATGGTAGGGTAATGGGAAGGTACTGTGGTTCACAGAAATATAATGTCTGCCATAGCCTGGAGTTTGATACTGATTGGGCCCAAGATTGACTTGGCCTTCCAACCTTCTGAGGCAGGTAAAATGAAGATCCAGATGGTTGAGGACATATGCTGACATTTTATAGCATCCAGAGAGTGCTATAAAGCATTATGGAGCAATATATAAGTCTAAGTGCTATTGCTTTTGCTGTAATATGACTTGTTATAATAGTTTTGCTCATTGTTTTCAGATTAAATATAACAACCCATCAAAATATGCTCTTGTTTTGTAATTGCATAATAATTACTGTATTTTTAGGAGTACAAGATGCACCTTTTCCATCCCCAAAAGTGGGTAGAAATGTCTGTGTGTCTTATACAGCAAATGTTGCTGAAGCCCCACCCACCCGGCCGCCCCAACCCTTTGGCCTCTGCCTTCCAGCAATTTGCCTCCTTGCAGCAAATAGCAAGCAGTTTGTTTCAGCTTCAGCACAGCCTGATTAGCACAAGCAACTGATTGGATCAGCCTCCAATGATCAGCTGTTTCAGGCCGCAGAGATTGCCTATTGCCGCCTCCGTGCGTCCCTTTTTCGACCTCCGCATCCAATTTTTGGCCTCCACGCACCCCATTTTCCGCCTGTTCTGATCCCTGCCACCTGGAATGGGCCAAAAATGGGGCACACAGAGGCTGAAAATAGGGCACAAGGAGGCTGAAAACGGAATGCAGAGGCCAAAAATGGGGCACGTGGAGGCAGCAATAGGCTATGGCAATCCCTGTAGCCTGAAACAGCTGATCATTGGGAGGCTGATCCAACTGACAACGAGCTGCTTAAGCTAATCAGGCTGTGCTGAAGCTGAAACAGGCTGTTTGCTGTTTGCTGCAAGGAGGCAAATTGCTGGGAGGCAGAGGCAATTTTTTTTCTCTTGTTTTCCTCCCCCAAAACTAGGTGCGTCTTATACTTCAGAGCCTCTTATACTCCGAAAAATACAGTTAATACAAGCTCACACAACCTATACTCAGCATTCTATTGAATCATTTTTAAGACCTATCTACTCTAGAGACATGAAATTTATGGTTCCTAGGGCATATGTAAGTCTTTTGCTTCTAGACTGCAGATAGCAATCAAGTTATAAGGAGCTGCCTTGGATTCCTGTTGCTCAGCCAGATCACTTTATTTCTTGGAATACAGGTGGCCCTCAACTTATGACCATAGTTGAGCCCAGGATTTCCATTGCTAAGCAAGACAGCTGTCAAGTTAATTTTACGACCTTTCTTGCCACAGTTGTTAAGTGAATCACTGCAGTTGTTAAATTAATAGCATGGTTGTTCGATGAATCTGGCTTTCCAATTGACTTTGCTTGCAAAGAGAAAATCATACGACCCCAGGATACCGCAGCCATCATAAATATGAACCTGTTGCCAAGAATCCTAATTTTGATCATATGATCACAGAGATGCTGCAACGGTCTTAAGTGCGAAAAACGGTCATAAGTCACTTTTTTCAGTGCCGTTGTAACTTTGAACAGATACTAAATGAATGTTGTTGATTGAGGACTCTCTATACATAAAATCTATTTATTAGAGCCTATAGAAAAAAGTGTTCTGGAGAAGGAGTAAAACCATTGTTGTGGTTTTTGGTTTCTTTGTCTAAAGCAGGTTATAGCAGATTCACAGTAGAACATTACTGGAACAGTCAGTCTCTTCACGAACAGGGAGCAGCAGCATACAGTAATAATCCAGTTTTAGCTGTGAATCCCCCATTCAAGCTCACTATTTGTCTCTATTGTCCCAAAGATGCTTTTGCAAGAGGCAATTGTACTTTTTGGTTTTTCTCATACAAGAAGCTTCTTCAGCTCTGACTGGATGGTGGGGAATGGAAAGATTTATACTCCTTGCAGACAGCTGGTCATTTGCATTCTTTGAGTGAGTTGTTAAGGTCACCTGGAGGTTTATCTGAATAGTGCAAATGGGCATGGAGCCTTCTTGGAACTGTTAAAAGGACTGTGTTGTAGATTAGAGATAGATGATGTCACTGAGAGAGGACTGTTCAGTTTTGACATAGATGGCCTCTTTGTCTCCTCTTTCAATCCAGAGGTCCTCTCTGTCCAAAATGTGGACTTTGCTGTCTTCAAAAGAGAGACCTTTGTCTTTTAAATGCAGATGGACTGCTGAATCTAGTCCTGATGGGTTTCTTCTCCTATGTAGTTCCATGTGTTTATGAAGTGATCGTTTTGTATTGTCTCTATTGTCACCTTTTGAACATCGCCCTGTGATCACCAATAGAGCAACTTGGAACACCCAGAAATTAGCAGATCTTCCTTCTGAGAGTAGGGAAAGCCTTTGTGGAATCTTCCACAATCTTGGGATAATTTATTCACTATCAAAGACCTATCAAAGAAAAGGAGGTGAATCATATTTGAAAGTTACATTTTTTTGAGAGCCTAGCAAAGAATGAAAAACGAATTGCATTTCAATTTAGCCATATTTCAGGTTGGACTCCTCACTGAGAACTCTGTAACCAGAAACTGACCTAATTTTTCTTGGAAGTAAAATGGATAATGAAGTAAATGTAAAGGGATTCCTTTCAAGGGTTAGCCAAGTTTGATCAAGAATAATTGGGAATGGAACCTCTCCATTTCCTCTTCCATGTTACACTGTATGTCCACTCTTCTCTAAATCCAGTTGCCAAGTAGCTTTTTAGAGTTAGTGCTATATAACTGAAAAGTTACACCACATGATTGCAAAGCTCTGTTATGCTGAGTGACAGCTCCAAAAACGAAACCAAGAACAGGTTTTAACTGGAGCTCCAACCAAGGGGGATCTCGACAGCCACAACATAGGTTTTGCAATCCACTTGCAGTAGAGATATTCTGCCTCTTGAACAGTCCTCCCAATGCTGTAGAATCCCAAATGTGAAGAAACTAATACAGCGGCCCCAAACCTTTTGGGCACCAGGGACCGGTTTTTTTCCACAGATCAGAGGGGGCGTGGTTTTGCATGCTGCCTGCATCCCATGGTTGAGGCTTCTCTTGTTTGCCCGGCCCAGTTCCTGGCATGCCGTGGTCTGGTACTAGTCCACAGACTAGGGGTTGGGGACCCCTAAATTCTAGTTCTGATTTAGCTAGGAAGCCAGCTGGGTTACTTTGGGCCTGTTACTTTCTCTTAGCCCTAGAAAGAAGGCTATACGACAAGGGTCTTCAAACTTGGCAAGTTTAAGACTTGTGGACTTCAACTCCCAGAATTCCTGAGCTAACATGACTGGAGGAGGAATTCTGGGAATTGAAGTCCACAAGTCTTAAAGCTGTCAAGTTTGAAGACCCCTGCATAGGAAACCACTTCAGAAAATGTTGCCAAGAAAAATGCAGGGACTTTTTTAGGCAGTCACAAAGGGTTAAACTAACTTAAAGGCACAAAGAACATAATATGACTATTTCCCCACGATAGCGCAAGTCGAGGGGTGGTGAACAGGCCACAGCCCGGTAGTGGGCTGCAGTCCACAGGTTGGGGACCCCCGATATAGACACAATATAGCATTTGACAGTTTTTTCCCCCAAGGCTTTCACTGTTATCCTACCAAGTACTAGTCTATGCTTTATTTCCTGACTGTGGGTGCTTTACTGCTGATAATCAGTCCTGAAAGGCAGGCGCTATCTCCTTCTTCAGTATCAATTACAAGGCTAGTTGCTGTTACAGTTATCATTAATTTGGTCTTCTTTTTTCACTGTGCTCCTTGTCTTTCATGACTAAAGCTTCCAGACTATTTCCATTTTCATCTATTAAACTGTGTTGAGTACAGTATAAGCACAAGTTGTTGTTTCCATCCCATTTTAAAGGCATGCTCTTCAATCCAGCTTTTCCTCAATGCATATTCAGCACGCAGTTTCAATAAATAGGAAAGATTATAAAGCCTTTTACCACTTCTTGCTGACCTGCCAATCTTTTCTCCAGGGACCAGAAGGATAGTGGCTTTCTATCCTATGTATAGGTTTCACATAAGCGCAAAGAGTTAGCAATAGCACTTAGACTTATATACTGCTCCGAAATGCTTTACAGAACTCTCTGAGCAGTTTGTTCTGGGATTACCGTTTTTCTAAGCCCTGTTCATAGAGTGACATGATTGACACATCCAAAGGCCTTGCTACAATGAATGGAGGACATATTGACATATTTTGGGTATTTTTTATTTTTATTTGGGTGCAATTCAAGGTGCTGATTGTCACTTTTAAAGCCCTTCGTGGCTTGGATCCAGGTTATCTGAGGAAACATCTCTTGCCAGTGACATCGACCCGACCCATTAGAGCGAGGAGGCAGGGAATGTTGCGGGTCCCATCCCTGAGGGAGATACACCTGATGGGACCCAGAAGAAGGGCCTTCTCCGTGGTGGCTCCGTCTCTCTGGAATATCATTGCCCCAGAGATTAGAATGGCCCCCACTCTAACACTCTTTCGGGAGGTTTTTGAACGTCACTAAATTAATTGTTGTATGTCAAGGACTACCTATACTCTCCAATTCAGCAAATATTCCTGAATAAGGACATTCTCTTCCCACAAGCAGTCTATTAAAAGAAGAATGCACTATAATTAGGGTAAAAGCTGTTTATCCCTTTCTATATGTTGTGCAGATTTCTCTCTATTGGTGGTTGATGAGTGTCACCACACTCACAAAGGAACTGTTTATAACAAGATTATGGAGGACTACTTGGACCGCAAGTTGAAAGGCCAACAGGGTTTACCTCAGATTTTGGGTCTCACAGCCTCTCTAGGTACTGGAAGTTCAACTACCCTTGAAGCAGCTAAGGCCCACATCCTTGAGGTGAGTCTGATGGAAGACACTTAGTTCAAGTATTGGTAGTTTGGTGGCATTATGGGTTCCTCTCTTTTCCCTCGCATAGTCATAAGTTTGGAGTTTGCTCTTCATTGCAAACACAGTTCTCTTTCATACCGATAATGGGATTTTCAAAGAGCATATACCATGTTTCCCGGAAAAGAAGATCTATCCAAAAAATAAGCCCTAGCCTGTTTTTTATGTGTGTACCTTTTACGTGTAACCCAACCCTAGTGAAGAGGGGTGGGCATGGCCAGCATAAGAGGCGGTGAGCACACCTGGGCCGACTGTGTCTAGCAGCAGCCACAGCCCACGCAGCACAGGTGAGCTGATTATCTGTGCAAGCAGCAGGCGGAAGCAGAGGCAGAGGGGGAGGCAAGCGATCCAGATGCACCACACGGGTTGTGGGGAAGCCGAGCATCGGTGAGTCGGAGTGATGAATAGCCGCGGGAGGCTCGTCTTCACATGGGGACACCAGCAGCAGACAGAGGCAGAGGTGCAGCGGGGAAAGACGATCCAGATATGTTGGTGGGTTGGAGCAACGGGCTTCCGTATGAGGCTCATCTTCATGTCTCTTGGCTTCCCTGCAGCTCGTGCTGCACATCGGGATCACCTGCCTTTCTCTCCATGCCTTCCTCTCTGTGCAGCCTCAGAATGTGCCAACTAAGGGACTGGCAGGCTGCAGCTGCTGCTGGATACCGTCGGTCCCTGCGCACTTGCTGGCTCTTTCAGCTTTCAGGTTGATCACCCTGAAATTGTGTTTCCCCCAAAATAAGCCCTAATGCTTATTTTGGAGCCCAAAAGAAAATAAGACCAGGTCTTATTTTCAGGGAAACACAGTAGTTCAAAGACAAGCACATGCTTTGTATCTATTAGCCTGCATCCTTGTCTTCTCCAGTTAAGACATATAAAGTGCTTTCCCTGGGACCTCCTAAAATAGATCACTAACCTTGATGGATAATAAGACTATAAGAAGAATCCTGATGAAGTAGGCCAACTAGTCACAAAGAGGACACTAAGGTACATTTGGGAAGTTCTCAAGGTTTGTCCTTCCCCAGAAATTAATATTCAGTATATTGCCTGTAATACTGAAGAAAGAAACCATTGATGGCTCTTTTCTGTCCTAACTTTTGCTTAGTCCTTTTTGAAAATGTCACATAATCTGGTGGAAACAAATTCTGCTGTTTTACCACATTTTCTCACGTTACTGAATGTCGCAATATTTTGAAAGAAGGAGAAATACTTTTTCCCACCTTAATTTTCTGTACCAGGATTCTTCTCTTTAACTTCTGTATCAAAAACAGTCCCATACTTGCTTTCTGAGCTAAAAAAAATAATACTCTGAACGTGGTTGTCCTTCTTGGAGGGCTACTCATTTTCGTTAACTTTTCTGCACCTTTTCCAGTTATTCCATATTTTTCAAGACTCCAATCTACCTGTCAAATGCCAAGGAAATCAAGAGATTCAGGCAGTTCAAATGAGCAGAAAGATTTATTGCAAGTTTTAAGCTCTCCACTAGAATCTGACCAACTGGCCATTAAAGGAAATCAGTGGGAGATAAGAGAGGCATTTAAGGTGGGCTGGACTTAGCTCTCTTGTGGGTGTGAAGGGACTCGTGGCTTATGACATGTTTGACTCCCCCACCTCTTCTTGAGGCTCAACCTGGTCATCTCCATTGTTACCCCAATATAAGTCAGCTTCCAGAATCGAGTATTATCATCAGATGGTAAAACTGTTCCTCAATTATAGCATTTCAGTTGCAGATTAAGGAAACCCTAACACCCCTCCCCCCTTGCAAATTCCCCACATCTGGAAAAGAAGGAACAAAACATCTTGCAAGTAGTAGTAAGTAGACTATCAAGTCACATTGGCCTTTTGGGACTGAGATGCCCTGATTTGGGCCAGAGCCACCTGTTATTTTAGAGAGTATTTTAACATGCTTTGCATGGCACTTCCTTCAGATGCTTCAGCAGGTCCAAAATACAGCAATTCATCTCCTAACTAGAGATAGCAGATTTAGCAGCATTATCTCTATGCTGCACCTTTTGTTACTGGTTCAGCTCCCGTTCATTTTAAAATGTTATGTGTCCCTTTTAAAGCCTTGCATAAGTTGACACCCAATGCCCATAGGACCTTCACTCCTACTGAGACTTGCTCCTTTCTGTGCAAACTACAAAAGAAAATAAGGACCCAGGACAATACTTCCTCACTGGCTCCAAAGTAAGGCATGCCTCCAACGTCTTGGCTTCAAGAAGCTCCTGAGCATTTCGTCGCTGATGGTACTTGGGCTGTTTAATTAGATAGCAATAGCAATAGTACTTAAACTTATATACTGCTTTATAGTGCTTTACAGCCCACTCTAAGCAGTTTACCCCCAACAATTTTGGGTCCTCATTTTACCCACCTCAGAAGGATGGAAGGCTGAGTCAACCTTGAGCCTGGTGAAATTTGAACTGCCAAATTGCAGGCAGCTGGCTGCAGCAGAAGGTAGCTTGCAGTACTGCACTCTAACCACTGCGCCACCAAGGCTCTCTAATAATTATAATAATTATAATTATATAATATATAAATATAAATAATATGATAATTCAAATTGAACGGGATAGCTGTTATTTTTATTGATAAGGATTACTGTTGTAAATGACTCCAAATCCTTGTGAACTGGGCAGCCCATAATTCATGCCATGTATAAATAAACAGGCAAATTTGTTTTCATCTCTTTCTACCACCGCATCACTTAAAGGCATTCCAACTTGCCTTTGAGACCAGTTGGTTTACCCCCTATTTCCTGAAGTAGTCACACAGCTGTGCTAATTCTTTCCAGATCTGTGCTAACCTGGATGCTGAAAGAATTATGTCAATCAATAAACAGAATTCCTCTCTTGATTGTCATGTTCCATGTCCCAAGAAACAGTACGATCTGGCAGAACCAAGGTTGCAGGTAAGATCACCAGGAATCTCTTAAGGAACTTTTGAAAAAAATGAATGGGCAGTGTAGATGAGAAGGTTAACATTTCCTCCCACTCCACCTTTCTCATTTTATCATCTCCAGGACCCATTTGGAGAAAAGCTCCGGGAGATAATGACCCAGATTTATACTTACCTAAATGTATCTGACATTACTGCGAACTTTGGTACCAAGTGCTTTGAGCAGCAAGTTGTGGAGCTTGAAATGAAAGGTGAGTATCCCATAGGAGGCTTTGTAATAGCAATAGCACTTAGAGTTATATACCCTTTCACAGTGCTTTACAGCCCTCTCTAAGCCGTTTACAGAGTCAACCTATTGCCCCCAACAATTTGGGTCCTCATTTTACCCATCTGGATGGAAGGCTGAGTCAACCTTGAACCTGGTGGGATTTGAACTGCCAAATTGTAGGCAGCTGGCTGCAGAAGTAGCTTGCAGTACTGCACTCTAACCACTGCACCACCGAGGTAATGCAGGCTGTCCTCAACTTACAACAGTTCATTTAGTGACTGTGCAAAGTTACAATGGCACTGAAAAGACTGACTTCTGACCAGTTTTCACATGACCATTGCAGCATCCCCATGGTCATGGGATCAAAATTTAGATGCTTAGCAACTGACTCATATTTATGAGTCAGATTAATGGAAAGATCATGTGACAGACCATTATCATGACATTTGCTGTCTTTGTGGTGTTAAGGAGCAAAAGAATGTTGCCAAAAAACCCGAGTTTGTGCCCTGCATCTGCGGAAATACAATGATGCCCTGCTGACCAATGAAACCGTGCGCATGATTGATGCCTTCAATATGCTGGATGAGTTTTACCAAATAGAACAAGCTACTAAGAAATTAACACAAGAAAGCGAACAGTATCTTTTCCAGCTCTTTGATGGTAAGTGTCTGTCAGTAAAGGAAATTGTAGAAGAAAAGAAGGGACGGGCTAGTCTCACATTGGTGGAGTTGATGGTGTCATTTTTCTGATTCAGAGTGAATTCCTAGATATCCGTTTGTCCCTTAGGTGAAAAATAACAA